CGTCAATAGTCACCGCTTTAGATCTAATATCCAGCGTTAATTAATTATCCAAATAAGCAACCGAATTTCAGTGAATAGCTTGTAAAACTTTGATTCTGACTGTTATTCATGAACTCAACTTTATGGCATGGTATTTACAAAGCGTATTGAAATTGATTAATTAAAACATTTTCAAAGCTAATGCACACCGGTCTCCTCAAAGACATATACAAACAGAGAACACTCATTGAGAGAAGGCTTATCCCTTCAAACAAAAATACGAGCTTTTCTATTATAAAAATGTCAGTAAGTTACCTTCGAAGGTTTCTTTTAAACCTTTCAGGCCCTGTTTATCTTGGGGTTGGTGGTAGGGCACGAGCCAGTTTCCAATGGGTTAAATCTCCGAAAAGGAATTTACACCTACGTTCTTTACGTAGGGTTAAACCTTAATAAAGCAGCCGGCTTTCGTTTTTAAAAAGTACCAATTTATAATTATCTGTACTTGACTAAATCGTCAAATGCCCCACCCCCGGGTAACCCTTTGGGATTAAATGCCCTGGGCATGATGGGGAACTACAACCTGTGAAATGCCCTATTGAGCCGCGCGGCGAAGCGACGAGTGAGTGTCCGTAGCTTTCTTAGTGCTCCAGTTGGTGACATGAAACATTATTTACAGCCTTCATTGTACGCCATGTTGGTACCAATGACCTTAAGGATCATTTTTCAAGAGTTGTTGCCGAACAGATCGTCGACTTTGGAAACCTACCTTCGTCTTCCTCTCCTGACGCCAAAGTCACGATCTCGGCATTGACACTGCGCTATGATGAGGAGTGTCTGAGTAAAAAGGAAACCGACTGTAACAAAGTCATCAAATCCTTTTGTAACCAAACTGGATGGGGTTTTATTAAACACCCTAACATTGATGAATCGTGCGTAAACAATCAGAAGCTTCATCTTAACAAGAAGGGTATCACCATTATAGCAAGTAATTTAGTTAATCATATCGTCCGTTGATTTAATTCTCATTCATTGTCTGTGGGGCGACTTCTGATTTTATTTTAAACCCACCTAGTTCCCCGTGCAATTCAGATTCTATAATTCCCAAGGGCCGTGGGTTTAAAATGACTAACTTAAATATTACAAGTCTACTGAAACACTTAGATGAACTTCGTATTCTTTTAAATTATAACTGTAGGGATTTCCTGGCTATCAATGAGACAAGACTAGACGGGGGTATTTCACACCAGGACGTTAAGGTTGAGGGCTATGATGTGATCCGTTGAGACAGGACTGTTACCGGTAGATTTGGTCGGGGTGTTTGCTGTTATATTCGTTCGGACATAAATTACGTTGTCCGCCAGGATTTGAATAATCAGCCCAGGGAAATCTTGTCCATTGAAATTCGTAAGCCTAACTCAAAACTTTTTGTAGTCACTTTGTGGTACAGACCGCCAAACTCATCTCCTGATCTTGTTTTTTGCATCCTGATACTTTGTTAGGAAGACTAGATTCTGAACGTGTTTTATATTATCTTATTGGTGACATGAATTGTAATTTACTGTCAAGTGATGATATTCATGCAAGGCCCTCTTAAGTATTACCGAAATGTTTGGTTTGAAACAATTAATCGATGAGCTCACTCGAATCACACGTTCATCAAGCACCTTAATTGATCCTATTTTCACTAGTCATCAAGGCAATATTATCTGTTCTGGGGTGTCTCACGTTGGCACAAGCGATCACCGCTTAGTCTATGTATTCCGTAAAATTTCAATTCCCGCTCCTTGAAAA